ATTTATATAAATTTCGTCCAAATCTTTAATAATCACTGCAATGTAAATTAATAAGAATTATTAAAATTTAATTTATTACACATAGCTTATATGTATATCTTACATTAAATATTATCAACAAGTAAAACCTTTTCTTTCAAACAGTGGTTATAAATTTCTTAGTCGCACAAGAATGAAAATATATAAGTTATATATACGAATTTAAGTTACACATACAGATGTATTGTATTCTACTTATACTTTTATGCACAATTAGTTAAGTTTCTTTACAAAAATATTAAAAATCACAGACATAGACACATGAAAAAAAACGATCGTAGAATTTAATTTCTTTTGGAATAATTGCGACAATAATAATTGTGTAATAAATAAATGATTATTTAAATGTCGGAAATGATGATGTCGCTTTTTCTGTGCTCCGATCTTAAACGTGAAATAATTTTTTATAAAAATTCGATTATGAAGTGAAATATTATCGATTCGATAAATCAAAAGTACTATTTATATAATTTCTATCCTAAAAAATATTCTTCTTTATCACGCGTAGAGAATTAATATAGGAATTCGTTTCGCAATTTCGAATCTCACGTTATAGAATAAATTGTTAACGCGTCTCGTAGAATCGCTCCTATCAACCTCGAGCTTTATGATATTGTTGCATGTCGTTCATTCGTACTTAGCCTCAATTTCAAACCAGCTGTAACGCAACGCAAGTCTCTCTTCGTAACTTCGACCTTGTTTTACGCAATTCAGACACAATTCACCTAATCACCGACGCTCTGCTTTCTTATCGCAGATGCGGATCAATCAGAGGAATACGACGCTCTGTGGATGTTGGAACGAAAGGCGCGCAGCATTGGTCAAGAAAGCCAGGATTCTCTTCCGTACTCGTCGTCGAAAGTACATGATACCTTAGGATGTGGTGGCGATTATCCGGTTCAGATGTATAGTGGTGACTCCTACATGCCGATGATACAGACGATACAGACCCACTACGTTTGTACCGATTGTGGCAAAAAATATAAATGGTTAGACAGTCTGAAGAGGCATCAAAGGGTGGACTGCGGCAACAAGGAGAAAAAGTTCTCCTGTCATGTGTGTGACCGAAAGTTCAAGTATCGATATGAACTACGGAATCATATCACCGCGCATCACTGCGGGTGACTTTTTCTTGTGAAAAGCTTTCCTTTTCGAAAGTTCGCGGACTAAAAGAACGTGACCTGATTTAAAGGCCGACAGGAGTGATGAAGATCTGTTGGAAACGAATTTCTCCTCTTACAGCTAAAAGAGTGAGAAAATCCTAATATAATTGTGGTATTCGTAATTGAAGAATATCTGCATGTTGTTAAAAAGCAATTTTTTTTTAAAACACAAAATTTATTTTGATATCTTACTCAATCTACATTACCTGAGCAGAATAAGTCATTGTAATATCAAAATGATGTCAAAATGACATTTTTAGGAATTATTTTGACATCATTTTAACGTTATTTTACCGCTATTTTGATCGTGAGTTGTTATTTGTTCGGATAAAGTATAACTAAAATGGAGATAATTTTATTCATTATAATGTTTTTAATGTTCAAAATTGAGCTCTTTAGAAGGCTTCGCAGTTTCGTAAAACATAATCCAAAAAAAAGTCTTATGGCGAAATGTTGTTTCTACGAAACAAAATATATTATACAGTTTTCCGTGATTATATTTGAATAAGAAACAGATTATTTTGTTTATTATAATATTTTTAAGAGAGAGTGAAATTGCAAAATTTGATTGTTTAATAATAGATTTCATAACTTTGTAAAACATTTCTGATGGAAATTTTTTCCTGAATTGTAATGAATAATAATGAAATATTATTGAATTTCATATTGAAATTTATATCAATTGACTCATTTTCAGTACTATTTTATTAAAATTTCCATTACAATCCGTTAATATTTTATAAAGAATAATAAATTTAATACAAAATATTGTTATGTTATATTTAGCTTCGCGTTAGTGCAAAAATACAATGCATTTGTGTATGGTTTTTACACATACTTACCAAACTTACATGCGAAAACCATGTATAAATGTAAATTTGACATATCTGCAGATATGTTATTATAATTTGATCTTCTCGTTATATAGAAAGATCAATTCAACGCTTTTCATTACAACGTTAACTGATTTCATTATTGTTCAGCAAATTTCATTACAATCTTTCAACTATTAATTCCAACATTTTACTTGTCCTGTTTCCATTTTCGGTAACTTTCATTAATAAATCTGTAAAAATATTGTTTATTTCGTTCCCATTTCATTATTTTCATTAATTTTCCTTAGAATTTATAGTATTTCAGTGTATATTTCAATGTACAATAAATAAAAGCATATTTCAATATACAATAAATAAAAGTATTATATGTTTTACATTACTTTTCATTTTTTCATGCATTTTCAATAATTATCTTTAGGATTCATGGTATTTCTGTATAATTCAGTGTTCAATATCTCTGAATAAATTAATATATACATTTATTAAATATATGTGCATTATTTTTCGTTTTTCTTAATTTTCATTAATTATCATTAAAATTTATAGTATTTCAATATTAAAAGTATTATTTATGCTGAAATATTTTCAATAATATTTCTGATTTTCATTTCCCATTTCAATGATTTCATTGTCAATTTCAACAATTTCAGCTATTTTTTTCCATCAGGGATAAATCAAAACAAGTTTCATGGCAAAATATTTCTTCTATAAGACAATATACGTGGTACAGTACAAATATGTATCTGCAAATGATGAGTTTTCTCATCATTTCTGCCGGCCTTTAAGCTTTGTGACTGCGTCTCGAAGCTCAAAATATTTGTGATCGAAATTTATCAGCAATACAGCGATAGAGATAAGTTTTTTTTTAAAAAATAACATTCACTCCGAGAAGATTTCTTATTTATAAATTAGATAATAAAAATATTAGAAATTATTTATTTATTAACATTATTATTGATAATAAATGATCTTTCTATATGTTGCAAAAATAGAAAATCAAGTAATAATCATAAATTATTTCTATATTGAATTTGTTATAATACATTTTATAATATTGTATCTTAATCATTATTAAAATTTAAAATTTGCTTTATGACAATATAAGATTTAGTTTAATTTCCGAAAAATCTTTGCGAAGTAATGAATTATTTTGTCTTATTCAATATATGTAAAAAAATAAACTATTATATATTAAAATAATCTAAAAAAATATATATATATACATAATATTCATTAACTTTATTTATATTGATCTCGCTATAAACATTCTATAAATTAACTAAATGATTATATTTAAGTTAATTATATTTTTTTAATTACATGTCCTTATTATAGACTCAACCAAATGCAATGAAACTATAGTTTCCATTAGCATTTTTAGTGCAAATAATGCAATAGACTAAAAATATTTTTAACGCAAACAAAATGTAATTTTGTCTACATATATTAAATATATCGAAAACACGTTTCAGGGAAATGAGAACAAGTTTTCTCCCTCCTTTTATGAAAAAGAGATCCTGTAATCCTGAAAAATCCGATCAAGGATGCCTTGTTTACAGTCGCTTTTATGGTGAATGGCTACGTGTAACTCAAATCATGCTGTGTATGTCCGTGTCTTTGTCGTAATCCCGTAATAAATAAATCCTTCTAGACTAAAGTGTGATCGCCAATCCCTATGGCAAAAGGACGCAATAATTCTGATAAAGTTTTATTGATTCTCTTGTGTGTTTTCTAGAACGCAAGCACTCGCCAGGTGACGCCATCGAATGGTACTATCAGTATCAAACAATGTATCTACGTCTGATGGCGGAAAACCAGTTGACGAAAGAGACAACAACAAGAACAACAACAACCGAAAATCAAATAAGTGTTTGTCCCGATAATATCGCCACTAAGAAAATTCAAAATGGTCAACCATTGACAGAAGTCAGCAGCAACCAGGTAACCGCGAGTAATCGCGATTCCTATTACTATTGTCAACGTTGCGGTAATGCCTACACGAGACCGCACTCGTTAAATAGACATATGAAATTTGAGTGC